GATTGCATACTCCACCATCCATACTTTGAATAATTTGCACGCCGCACAGTGCAGTACTGGAAACAGCATTTATTAGACAGTTAGACAAAAAACAAAACAAAATGCCTGTCTCGATCAATCGCACATCCATAATGTTTGTATATTGATATGCTTGTAAATAACATTAACGTAAAAGTCGAAACAACCTAGACTAGAAGTCAATTCACCAGTCCAGCCAGCTATGGCTCCCTAAGTTGCTTATATTTAATCAGATACTATTTCGTCATCATGCTTTGTTACCTTACCTGTTTATACCACATGAGGGCGTTTTTTTATGGCAAGATGGCGCAAACGGAAGTCCTTCGCAGGTTTATGGTTTCTCATATTTAAATCATCATAACTCTGAAGATAATCATTTTTTTTAATTTTTTTTTTCAAATTTATAATCAATATACATAACTTGATAAATACAAACACCAAAATAGGCTCTATTTAGTTCCCCTTTAATAGTTGATAATGACATAACAATCAATGGACTCAACAAAAGTTTTAAATTGGTGGTATCAAACTGTTACTGTCACCAACCTATTTTGTCTTAAATCAAAACAGTAATATTGCCTGTATCTGGTTGGAACTGGTTGGGTCAAAGCTTCATCAAACTTTTACTGAGTGGCACATAGAAAATCTGAATTTTCCTTCCCATTAAATTACAATTGTGTAATATACTTGGTATATTGGAGCAGATAAAGCTACTCAGTGCTCGAAATTAAAAAAAAATAAAATTAACTAGTTGTCCAGTGGAAAAAACAATTTTGGAATGTGGTTGTATTCCAGATAAAAATGTTGATTCAAAATTTTACATATAATTGTGTTTGTGGTCCCAAACGATGACAAATAGTGCCCTCCCAGTCCAAATGTCAAAATTCGTTGGTGTTGCAAAGCCTTCATTTAGCTAATCAGTGCACCCTCATTAAATGCTATGATCTTATTAGTCTCTGTTCGCACGAAATCCGAAAACGGGGACTTATAATTCGGTCTCCGTCTGTGCGTTCGTTCGGAGTCACATCTCAGAATCCCTTGGACCGATTTCGTTCATTCTTTGCATGTGCTGAGTACCTTATGTGGGACATATGCGCATGCAGTGTTTTAGCTATTCGATTGAAAATGGCCGACTGGCAGGCATCTTGTTTTTTTTTATATGCGGTATCTTGGATGTGCTCTGTCAGTTTTCATTCAAATTTGGCACATATATGTACTTTATACATGTTAGGATGCATGTCCATGACAATTTTTTTCAAAATCTGGTCAAGGATGGCCGATTGACAGCCATCTGACTTTTTGGCCCTACTACTATATTTCCACAATTTATGTACCATTTTCATTCGTATTTGGCACATACATCATACATATCAGTGTGTTTCATAATCAGATCAAAGATGGCAGAATAACGGCTGTTTTTATTTTTGGCCATATTACTACTACATGGAACATGTGTTTTGATGTGAATAAACAATCTGTTGTAAACGCCACTTGGGACTCGAGTTTCAAGGACACGTTCGCGACAACCCCTCCGCTTTAATATGACGAGCACAAAGGGATCTTTCAAAAATGTTACGGGGACTGTGTCATTTTCAATGACTTGTTAGTTACAATTAAACAAGTAACATGAGTAGGTAATGTTACTGTCTTGGTTTACAAAAATATGCTGTATACTGGTGGCAGGTAACACCCGCTGACAGCCGTTTTTAGTTTCTGTACTTTCTTTCTAGAATAATCATTGGGTGCTGAAAGACTTCCTAAATCAGAAGAGTTTAGAAGCTGTAGGTGTTAGTCCTGTACTCCTGAATTTGTTGATGTCAAATCACATTCCATCATATGGTTTGGATGGACTGGGAGATAAACTTCTACAGAGGTATTTCTATGTTTGACTATGCTTTGGATGTAGTAAGAGGTTAGGTGCACCGGTGACTACAGACTCTATCTACGTTGGATGTAGTAAAAGGTGATATACACTGGTAACTACTGCCTCTATCTACTTTAGACGTAGTAAGAGGTGATGTACACTGGTGACTACAGTCTCTATCTACATTGGATGTAGTAAGAGGTGATGTACACTGGTGACTACAGTCTCTATCTACATTGGATGTAGTAAGAGGTGATGTACACTGGTGACTACAGTCTCCATCTACATTGGATGTAGTAAGAGGTGATGTACACTGGTGACTACAGCCTCTATGTACATTGGATGTAGTAAGAGGTGATGTACACTGGTGACTGCAGTCTCTATCTACTTTGGATGTAGTAAGAGGTGATGTACACTGGTGACTACAGTCTCTATCTACTTTGGATGTAGTAAGAGATGATGTACACTGGTAACTACAGCCTCTATCTACATTGGATGTAGTAGGAGGTGATGTACACTGGTGACTACAGTCTCTATCTACATTGGATGTAGTAAGAGGTGATGTACACTGGTGACTACAGTCTCTATCTACTTTGGATGTAGTAAGAGGTGATATACACTGGTAACTACAGCCTCTATCTACATTGGATGTAGTAAGATGTGATGTACACTGTGCTGGTGACTACAGTCTCTATCTACTTTAGATGTAGTAAGAAGTGATGTACACTGGTGACTGCAGTCTCTATCTACATTGGTTGTAGTTAGAGGTGATGTACACTGGTGATTGCAGTCTCTATCTACATTGGTTGTAGTTAGAGGTGATGTACACTGGTGACTACAGCCTCTATCTACATTGGATGTAGTAAGAGGTGATGTACACTGGTGACTACAGCCTCTATCTACATTGGATGTAGTAAGAATTATAGTCGTTCAACAGATATGACATTAATGAGTGGCTTATATATGCATGTCAATATTATATAGGATTACTTTCTAAGCTTTTTTTTTTAAACAGATTATTTGACAAGTTATACATTTCACAGAGTTGTGATATTCTGGAGGCTGTTCTCAAGCACTCACGAGATAAAGCAGCTACATCAGGTAAATTATGATTTTTGTGTCACACAAAAACAACAGCATTAGGCACTGTGTTCACATGAACACTCAAAAAGTAGACACAAAAGAAAATCTTGAATAGTCTGACTTCTAGACAATAATTCTTTTTAAGTTTTGAATTGGGGACATCAAGAAACAATATTTTTTGGTATGATAGTCTGGTGATAGTGAGAAACTGCATTATATTATCATATATTGATGTAATTCTGTGCAGCATACTGTATTCATGTGATAACCACATTGCTATTCACCTTATCTCTGATTCTATTAAATGCAGTAAAGAGATACTGTCTCGTAGTTCATCCCAAATAAGGGAAATTGTGAGCCTCGGGTGCATTTCTGGTTTTATTTGTACCATAATAATAATTAATGGTTATATAAGCGATGAACAAACCAAGTATTACTTTAGTTGTGGTTATTACATTTCCCAACTGTTACTAAGCATGTAACTATGGCAATAAGTTTTCAGAAGCTGAAATGTAGAGAAAATGAGAGAATACTTTTTGTGTTAATATTTGCTTGATATTGTTATTACTGGGAACCTGTTAAAAAAAATATTGTTTTTTTTTTTTTATGAGATTGGGTCTCTGAATTTGTATATACCTCC